CCTCCCCTTAAACGATAATCCATTCGCCAATCATCTTGTACCGCCGTTATTACCGTCGCCCTTGACCAAACGGGACCCGCCGCCTAACCACCAATGTTAGGAAGACTTTGGACACAATGCACCTTAAACGCGAATAATTTTTTAGCCCGATTGCTACCACGCTTTCTACTACGTTCCTCAGACCTTGGGCTCTAATACCAGTTGTAGGGAAAATAACGAACAAATTGATCGAGCCCAAGCCCACACCACCAAATACAAGTCACGTTCCATCCCAAAATGAATTGGCAATGGGTGAAGTAGCCCACTTCAAATTATACTTCAAGTTATACAGTGGATTTGTTTTCTTCTCTTCTTGTTTGCTCTGTGGGTTTAGAATTTGCTCTATCTGGCCTTTAATCTTGTTCTGATCTTTTATGCATTGTAATTTCAGTTTCTGCAAAAGTTAAAAGAGCTAAAAAATGTCAGGTTCTGTGAACGAAGATCAAGAAGTGTTAAGAAGACTGTCGACACAAGGCACCTCAAACGCGAATAATTTTTTAGCCCTATCACCACCACGCTTTCTACTACGTTCCTCCTATCCTGGGCTCTAATATCAATTATAGGGAAAATAATGAGCAAATTAATCGAGCCCAAGCCCACAAAAACTAAGTGAGGTTCCTAACCGAAAACCAATTGGCAAGAATTTCTTTTCTTCAACCAATCGATATCGGTGTGGGACTTCTTGTTTGCTCAGCGTTTAGAATTTGCTCTATCTGGCCTTTAATCTTGTTCTGATCTTTTATGCATTGTAATTTCAGTTTCTGCAAAAGTTAAAAGAGCTAAAAAATGTCAGGTTCTGTGAACGAAGATCAAGAACAGAGGTAATGATAATTTCTTTTAATAGTTTTGAAATTTAGTTTTCGGAGTTTTCCCTTCGTGGGTTATGGTCTATGAGTGTTTTTAAGTGTCGTGTGCAAAGAGAGAGAACTGTCAGTTATGCTCGCAGATGTAAGGATCTTTCTTTGTGCCTTTTCTCCTATAATTTCATTAATCGTGATTGAAAATTTATTTTTGGAGTTCTTCCTTTGCGGGTTTTGATCTATGAGTGATTTTAATTATATTCTGAGCAAAAAGGAAGAAAAAACCAATTATTCTTTTCATTCTGATGTCTATAGGAGCTTAGATGTTACCCCGTGGATCAAAGTTTTCGACTTTCATGTTCTTTTTGAAAAATTGAAAACTTAGATTTGTTTGAACTTGTGTATAATTGAACTTAGAACTTTTACGGTTCCATAGTAGAAGAAGCCTTATATACTTAAAATCTTGGGAATTTTATTATGCTCTTCTTGCAGTTGTCATTAATTATAGAATGTGATTGCAATTCATAACCCATATTTAGTAATTATTCTGTAGAAATTTGATTGTGCTAATTCTTGTGTAAAGAGATGCACCCCATAACTCAACAGAAAAAAGGATAAGTTATTGACATCGCTATTTCTAGATGTCTACTATAGAAGAAAAATCCTTGCCAAGTTTACTGTTCCACATTGTTAGTATATTTTTGTATTTAAAAAGCAGACTATTATGTAATCTGCTAGAGGCTTAGCGTTTCCATTTATTAGTGTTGTTCAGCTAGATAAATTTATAAAGCTTTAGAATGTCCTTGTTGAATATAAATTGTAACTATAATTGAATCCATTGAGGGGAGAATTATTGGCAGTTGAAAGGTAATATTATCAGTTACTTGAATAATTGAATTGAAAATCTGCACCGATGAGCTTATTTGCCATGAGATATGACATTTACACGACATTTTTTGCTAATCTTAAATAAATAGAAAATGTAAAAGAAGCAACTTTCAGAAAACCTCGAGCATGGTTGGCCAAAAAAGTTAACTTTAAAAGTAACAAAGCAAGCTGTATGACAAGTGAGAAACCTACTTAACTCAAATTATGCCCAGGGAAGATTGTTTAAATGCACACCGTTCTTTTATCCAATTCATCTTCATTGGTCTCTGTTCTGTCCTTTTGAACCTTCCATTTCCCTTGTTTGTTCTATGCAGTTAACTTAGTGGTGGGACTATTGTCAGGCTATTGTCAGGTTTAACTCCATTAATTATTACATCTAATTGTTCTGAAACTTGCAAAACAAGGATACACTGGCATATAAGCTGCATTTGGGGTACTGCAGTCATTGTCTTTCTTTCTCTCGATAGGAGAAGTTCAACAGTCATTGAAAACTGTCTGAGTGCTCTCAAAGCAGTTACTAAACTAGCTGCATCTTGTTGGGTGATAAAGTGTTACTTGAAGCACATAAAGATGAACACAAATGAGCATGCTCACGTTCTCGTGTTCTTTCGATGGAAAACAACACAGTTGCAGTCAACTTCTTTCATTGTAATTAAAACTGGACATCTCAAAATCTTCAAGGAAATAGAAAACCAAATAAAACCTATAGAAAACCAAATACTTGGTTTGTTGTAGCTTACAGGATATGTTTTCTGTTGTTCAGAAGAAAGCATGTGAATTACCTCTTGGTTGCTTCTTTTGTTATTTGCTCCTGTTATAGTATATGTAGCTTGAAGATTCATTCCTGGTTAATGTCCCATCTTGCTAGTATTTTTTGTGGACCTTCTGGATTTCCTTTGATTATATCTTTCAACAAATGGAAAGGAACTGCAATTGTGATCTATGATTTCAGAAAGATTGGCTTTGATGTGAGAGTTAGGTTTGAGCTGATATATGTAAATCAAACCATTGAGAGTTTTCTGCTTAAGAAGGCAGTAAGAATGTTGCCATGTCAATTCTACACTTGCTATACTCTCCATGCACGAATTTGCGGGAATTTGTGTGTCAGTGAATCACCGGGGGATTCTAACAATAAAAGTTCCCATTTCAGGTTTCAGTGTAGCTTGTCCTTGTCACAAATACTAATCAGTTGAATGACTTTCCAGTTCACCAACTGCAAGTCAGTAGGTTAGGTTCCTTTTCTAGCTGGAAAAATCCTGTTAACACGGTATTGATCTAAAGTCTATTGTGTTTGCACCTATTTGAGTTCATCTTATCGTGTCAATTTTATTTTCTAGAAGGGAAACTATGGAGAATGAAATTACTTAGTAGTTGATAGACCCCACTCATTGCATTCAAGACTCCTAATTCATTCTCTGAGATTAGGTTCTTGATGTAAGGACCCGATTTCTCAAAAAAAATACTCGAATCTTTACTAATTCAAAAGGAATAAGTGCATCTCGAGCCAAAAGATAAAATTAACATTTATTTATTCAAAAAAAATGTAATTGTCTAAATAAAATAAAATGCAAGAACAATCAATCCCATAATAACCAATATTTGTAAACAAAACAAATAAAAATGGATTTTCTGATTATTAAATAAAATATATGCCACCACCGTCC